CTAAGTTACATTATCCCTTCCACCACTGAACTTTCCAGTTCTAAGACCTGCCAGTATTCTCTTATGCTTGCCTTTGAAAAATCTAAGATCAAATACCATCAGTCTCTTGGCCTCTGCTTTTTCCCATCAGTCTGCTCCTGTCCTCACAAATTCTCTTAACTCACTTTCTATTTTTGGCATTTCTACTTTAATCCCCTTTCCACTTATTTTCCTACGTAACCTTACTGTTCTTCCAGAGTTTCATACTTTTACAAAATTAATTTTGCCTTATCTGACAATTTGCAACTTCAAATTTTTCCTATAAATAGACCTTGTTAGTAATTTTAGCATAAATTCTTTTTGTTTTGATGTGAACTCTCTGTTAACTCACATTAAGTATTCATCAATTCCATTTTTAGCTGACTGCTTTCTGTGTTACTTTTTATCATACCCTCTTACCCTGACATAGAAGTATCTCTCCCCAGCATTCTTTTGCTCTTCTCTGGGGAAGTGCCATGTTTTTGCTTTTATTTTATTTTTTTAAGGAACAAAGGAATTTAAGCCTTTTGGATTAAGATGTTTATCTCCCAAGACTTTTTTCAATGCTCAGTCTAATTTTTTTATTGTGACATAAATAAAATATGTATGTGACATAAAATTTACCATTTTAACCATTTTAAAGTGTACAGTAGTCATTAAGTACATTCACAGTATGTGCAGCCATCATTGCTATCTCATTTCAGGACTTTGTTATTACCCCACATGGACTTTGTTAAACCCCATACCCACTGAGCATTAATTCCCCATCCCCTTTGCCCCCAGCTCCTGGCAACTATGAACCACCTTCTTTCTCTATGGATTTCCTCTCCTGGACAGTTCCTATAAACGGAATCATAAAATACATGGCCTTTTGGGTCTGGGCTCCTTCACGTAACACTTTTTCAAAGTCTGTCCATGTTGTACCATGTATTAGTACTCCGTTCCTTTTACAGCTGAATAATACTTCATCATATGGATAGACCACATTTTTTAATCCATTTATCAGTTGATTAGTCTAATTTTTTGAAACCTTTACTCCCAGATGAAATGAGTGATGCAGTCGTGTGGGCAGTGCCATGGATAGCACATAGATGCCTTGTGGTGGGATGTTAGAAACTGGATAACGCTGCTGTATGGCGCGTGTTTAGGATGCCCTACCCACCCTCTATTCGGATGCCACATTTTACTTTCTTCCTCCCTGCCCCTTTATTTGCAGCTAGATAATGTTTTTCATGTTTTGTTTCTTCTTTACCATTGTATTTATAGGTTTTAGAAAATACAGTGAATAACATCCTCAGTGTCCCATCACCCCCAAAATAACCGGCATTAATAGCATGGTACCTTTTCTTCTGGATGTTTTCCTGTCTTTGGGTATTTTATTTTTACCTAATTATGATCACATTGAATAGGGAATTTTATATGCAGCTCTTTCTGCACAATATTTATGTAACAAATATTTAAATACTACAATATGCTGGGATTTGTTGTGAATACCTCTGGTGAGGGAATAAGAAGCTCCAGTGGGGGTATGAGTTGGGGTCTTCAGCATATAGATGATATTTAAGGCTATGGACTAGGACCTCCTGGGGGAAATTAGATGGAACTGAGGAGGGGCCCAGGACTCAGCCCTAGGGTGCCCCAGCATGCAAAGGTTGAGGAGAGAAAACGGATAACCTGGTGAAAGCAGGAAAGCCTAGAAGAGAAAGCACTTTGAAGGGGAGTGGGACCTTGTGTCAAATGCTACTGAGCATCTGAGTGAGATGGAGACAGAGCGTCAACCGCTGGGTTTGACGAGGTTGTGGTTGGGCTGGAGCCCGGTGGAATGGAGAGGATCATAGCCCATTTGGAGTGTGCTGAGGAATGAATGAGATAATATTCTAACAGGTACCTGCACGTTTCAGATATTCTTAAACAGAATTTAATGGGAGAACAAGATGTCTAATTGTACATTTCACTTAACTACTTATTTTCTTCCTACTGCATGGCGTTTATATTGCTTCTAACTTTCGCTGTAACAAATAAGATCAAAGTGGATATCTTTGTAAACTTTCTTTTCTAACTTTAGCATTTTTTCCTTTAAATGGAGTCACAGAAAGGGAGGTGCTGGTCCAAGAGCAGAGCATCTT